GAAAATAGTTTGGATAGTGGAGCTACGTTAATTGATATTAAATTGAAAGATTATGGAAAAACATGTATTAGTGTCAGTGACAATGGTAGTGGTGTCTTGGAAGAAGATTTTGAAGGATTAGGTATATTCCTTTTTTATGATACTTATTTCTTTTATGTATAGAAATTTATTATAGACTAGTAAGATATAAATCTTTACTCATCAGTTAACATTTCATTCTTGTAAAATAATTACCTTATAAAGAATGAAAAATATTTTGTTCGACAAATATATATTATGTTAAATCTCTTTTTATTCATCAGGACTGAAACATCATACATCCAAATTAACAGAATTCTCAGATTTAATAGAAGTAAATACATTTGGATTCCGTGGAGAAGCTCTTAGTTCCCTTTGTTCTTTATCTGACTTGACTATTATTACAAGGCATGCAACCTGTGAACATGGTTTCAAACTACAATTTGATCATAACGGTATACTAACAACAAAAGAAGCTTACGCAAGGGAAGTAGGGACTACTGTACATGTTAAAGACATTTTCAAATGTCTGCCTGTTCGTGCAAAAGAACTTCAAAAAAATTTAAAAAAAGAATATACTCATGCCATTCAATTATTGTATAGTTATTGTTTGGTTTCTACTGAAACCAAAGTGACATGTACTAATTTAGTGTCAGGTAAATCTTCTAATCAAGTAATCAATACTACAAGCTCCAGTGACATTTTGAATAATATTAATATAATATTTGGTAAAAGATCTTCCGATGGACTTGTTAAACTTGAATTGCTTCATCCTAATGAATCGACTCTGCAAGAATATAACTTGCAAAATAATACAGTTATAGACTTTGAATGGGACTGTTATATTAGTAGTTGTGATCACAGTACTGGACGTTCTACTCCAGATAGACAATTTCTTTATATAAATGGTCGACCATGTAATCTTACAAAAATCAGTAAACTGATAAATCATATTTACCATAAATATAATAATAAACAATATCCATTTATCTTTTTAAACTTAAAACTAAATAAACAATCAACAGATATTAATGTAACTCCAGATAAAAGAACAATTTTTTGTACACAAGAACGTTTAATATTGGCATGCCTAAAGTTTAGTTTAACAACAAAGTGGAACAAACTACAGGGGAATTTAACTGTGAAGCCATTGGAAGATTTACAATTAAAAATAAAAAGACCAATTTCCCCTTCAAATGAGGATCCTCCAGCGAAAAGACTACAAAATGTACACTCTGAGCTGTACAGTAAAAACGAATTTGTAAAAGAACATAAAATAAAGAAAACTACACAAAGCGATAATTACGACGATGAAAATTATGATGTACAAAATGATATAAGTCAGATAAAAACATTGGACAATGCAGAAATGTCAATTAATATTTCCACAATAAAACAAAAACTTGAAGAAACTAAAAATGCATTGGCAAAATATGCAGGTACTAGTGCAAGAATCAAATATAAAGCACAAATGGATTCAAACCAAAATAATGCTGAAGACGAATTAAAACGGGAATTGACAAAGGAATCTTTTCATGAGGTTACAACATTTATGATGTTTTGTACTTAATATAACTATCGACTTTTAAAATTCAGCTATTGTGAAATAAAAAACAAATTGCAGATGGAGATCATAGGCCAATTTAATCTTGGTTTTATCATAGCTCGCTTAAATGAAGATTTATTTATCATTGATCAGCATGCTACAGATGAAAAATATCGTTTCGAAAAACTAAATAAAGAAACGCAATTAAAAACGCAAAAATTAATTGCTCCTAAATCATTAAATCTTTCTTCCTTGAACGAAACAATATTAATTCAACATCTGAAAACATTTGAAGATAATGGCTTTTCGTTCAAGATTAATTTTGAAGGTAAACATAAAATTAACGTTTATAATATTGATATAAAAATGCTTATACCAATTTACGTGCATTCAAAAAGATTTACTAACGAAAATCGAAAAACAGAAATCACACAAAAAGTCATTCTTTTTATTTTCTTAATTAAAAGAAAAAAAAATTATTAAAATACGATCGAGTTTATATTTCATTATATTTTTATCGACAGTCATACTTTCAGTATACAAACAGATTACTTTATAGTATGTTTTACTTTCGTTAAAAAAATGTTATTGAATAATTGTAATGTGAATTTTAATTTCAAGTACATTTTATTTCAGCAGAACCTGGGCATCGTATAGATTTGACAGGTATACCAGTTAGTGGCTATTGGCAATTTGGTAAAGATGACATAGAAGAATTAATTTTTCTCATTAGGGAATGTGGTATAGAAGATAAAGAAAACCACATATTCCGCCCATCTCGAGTAAGACAAATGTTGGCCTCAAGAGCTTGTCGTAGTGCAGTTATGATTGGTACAGCTCTTAATAAAAACGAAATGCAAAAATTAATAACGCAAATGGCACAAATGGAAAATCCCTGGAGTTGCCCTCATGGTAGACCCACTATTAGACACCTTCTATCTTTACATCTAGTACATAAATGAATAATTCTTTAAACACTATTTAGACTTATATATCATATATTTAATGTACCAAAAACATTTGTCATTTATCTCAGCACAAAAATAATTGTGTAAGATGTGCTCAATGAAAAATATATATGTAGCCAAATTTAATTAAAAAAATTTGTTTACAAATAAAATTAAGGAATATTAGACTGAAAAGTTTTTTCTGGACAATATATTATAAAACAGATAAAATTTTTATACACTAATTGTACGAAATATGTTGAATCCCGAGTGTGCTGTCGATATTATTACACCAGGACATTGAGGATGCCAATGTAGTTCCTTAATGTCTGTTTGACCTTGATGTATAAACAACAATTGCGGAGGTAAATCTTTCAGTCCCTTGTTTTCGGTATCTTCTGCCTGATCAGCTTCTACTGATAGATCCCATTCTGCAATTTGATCATCAGCTCCACCAGATGCAAATACTGTAGCTTCCTGAGGATGCCATTCTATTGTCGTAACAGGTGCAGTATGTTGTTTGAACATAGCTAATGGCTGTGTATTAGAACCAAACTGACGCAAGTCCCACACAAAAATTAAACCATCATCACCACCAGACACAAGAAATTGACTTTCTTTACGATTCCATGAGATTACATTAATGTCAGCTGTGTGAACATCAGCTGCTGTTAACATGCAGGCGGATTGTGGTGTTACCCTTGTATCCCAGATTTTAATGCTGTTAAAGTTTTACAACAACATTATGATATTGCATACAAAATTTATAAAAAGGTAAAAACATGAAGTCTATTAATATAAAGACAGAAACAGATGGCCAAATATATACCTTTTATCAACAGAACATGAAGCTAATACATGTCTTTCATTGGGAGACCACTGAAGATCTTCAACACTGTGTGGTGCATGTGAATTGTAGGGTCTTTGATCCACATGCCATGTTGTACTAGCATTATTGTCATCAATGCGCCATATATGAATGTTGCCTTTGCAGTCACCAGAAGCTAAAGTACCTAATTCTGTCGAACACCAATCAAGACCATACCCTTCCGAAAGATGTCCTTTGAAAGTAAATAACGGTTTGGTATCACTATCATTTTTATCATTCTTTTTACGATATGCACGAAGTTGTTCCTCATTTTCAAGTACTCTTAATTGTTCTTCTAAATTCCAAATGTGTACACGACCTAATTCACTCCAACTTGCTGCTAATGGTGTTTGACCAATTTTTGTATACCTGTTAAAATGTAAAAATATATTCTAATATATTATCTCAAATATGTTTGCTACATT